CACTTCTAGTTTTCTGTTGACTAATTGGAGATAAAAGTTTCAAGGACTTTCCTGCTTAGGCTGGCTTTGAACCACCAGTGCCTGGCTTGAAATTATGATCTTTTAATCATAATCAGTGGGTAAAAGTATCATGCAAGCCAGGTGCCAATTAATTGGAGATAACCAATTAACCACCAGAAAAGTGGGAGTGGCGCTATGGCTCAAGTGGTAGAGCGCTCGCCTTGAGCTGAAGAGCTGAGGGACAGCGCCCAGGCCAAGTTCAAGCCCCATGACCGACCAAAAAAACCCAAAACCAAATCACGCATTTCTTAACCACACGGTACAGTCTAGAAAGCCATAAAAACCTGTTACATGTGAAACTAGGGCCACCTGCTGGTCAGAGTAGGGAAAGGTCTAATTTAAATCCAACCAACTCATGTTTTTCTTTGGGAAACACTGTCCACTTGGTCCTTGTATTTTTTTTTTCACCATTTTGAGATGTTCAACAAATGCTTATGAGAAATCTGTGATCTATTAGAAAGAGTGAGGGACTTGGAGCCAGGAAAACGGATAACTAGACTTTTTTAAAACTCCCTGCCTCCATGTGTATTTTAAGTATTCTAGGGTTTTAAAAAATGTATTTCTTTTCACTGTGGTTGAGTTTTTCTTCTTCTTTTTTTTTTGTGATGAGGACTGAGCCCCAAACCTCATGCATACCAAGCAGGCACTCTCCCACTAAGTCACACTCAGTATTATTTATTTATTGGGTCCGGTCGTGGGGCCTGAACTCTGGGCCTGGGCGCTGTCCCTCAGCTCTTCAGCTCAAGGCTAGCACTCTCCCACTTGAGACACAGTGCCACTTCCAGCTTTTTTCTTTTTGCTTATGTGGTGCTGAGGAATTGAACCCAGGGCCTCAGGCATGCAAGCGCTCTACCACTGAGCCACCTTCCCAGCCCCCATCAGTATTATTTCATTTTTGAAATTAGGTTCTGACAACTACTACTTCGTTATCCAAAAGACCTAGATTCCAAATTGCCTTCCATTTGATCCCTTCTTATATTTAATTCTAATTTGTGTGTGTGGTGCACCCTGTCCTGAGCCACCTTACAGGCCGGCTTCCATGTATTTCCCGAAGCAGAACTCACTTGGAGGGAAACCTCACTGTTAACTTGATTTCACTAGAGCATTGCTGAGGATCATATTCAGGGTCTGGCTTACACTAGGCAAGCACTCTTGCAACTGAGTCAAGATCCTTTGCCCTTGAGGTTTTTTGCATAGGTTTCACTGTACAGCCCCAGGCTGGCCTCTTCCTCTCAGTGAAGAGAAACCACTCAGAACTGGAATTACAGTGTGTACCACTATACCTGGTATTCAAATAGGCTTTTTTTTTTTTGTCTATCGTGGGGCTTGAACTCTGGGCCTGAGTGCTGTCCCTCAGCTCTTCAGCTCAAGGTGAGCACTCTACCACTTGAGCTACAGCGCCACTTCCGGTTTTCTGGTGGTTTACTGGAGATAGGAGTCTCACGGTCTTTCCTGCCTGGGCTGGCTTTGAACCAAGATCCTCAGCTCTCAGCCTCCTGAGTAGCTAGGATTACAGGCGTGAGCCACCAGCGCCCAGCTCAAATAGGTATTTTTTAACCCTCAACAGTATTAGGTATATAGAAGTGCACTTACTTTAATGACACCTTCAGTTTTGAAGGAGGTGTCAGTAATATAATAAGGTAGATAATGAATCTGAATCTAATGGGAAATGAGACAAAATGCCCACTTGCTTCAGGAAACCGTTTATTAATAGCAAATCAGATTTACAGCATAACACAACAGAGCCAGAGGTGTGAGGCTATGCATACATGGGGAGGGGAGGGTCATTACCTACCTGAAGTTACTCAGTGGTTTCTCTTCACTTCTGCACTAAACCTAATCTGTTCTGTTTGTAGAATCCTGGAGAACAGCTCAGCAGGAGTTGGACTTCTCTTGATTTAGCAGCTACAAGAGAAGGTCCACATTCCAAAAGCAGAGGAACTTGAGCCAGATCTTCTCCCCTATTCCAGGTCAGACTTCTGTGTCTGGGTGAAGAGGTAGGGTCAATATACAAATTGATCTAGTACTTGCAGCAAGGTATGACATATAAGTATCACACCCAAACTAAATGTGTAGACTCTAGCCAGGTACTGGTGAGTCAGGCTTATACTCCTAGCTACTTAGGAGGCTGAGATCTAAGGATCATGGTTCAAAGCCAGCCCAGGCAGGAAAGTCCTTGAGACCCTTTAGCTCCAATTAACCACCAAAAAACTGGTAGTGACACTGTGGCTCAAAATGGTAGAGCTCTAGCCTTGAGCAAAAGAGCTCAGGGATGGCACCCAGGCACAACAAAGAAGCCCTACAACAAAGAAACGTAGGCTCTACGATCAGCCTAGGTGCTGGTCTCTAGATCACAGTTCTACAAATGTAGGCCAAGTAACCCTACTTGGAAATTAGGCTTTAGTAATTTGTAGTAAATGTTCACATATGCTCCTGGTTATTAGAATGAATTGTGGATGAGGAAATGGAATTTGCTTCATGCTATCAGATGCTGACTCCCTAAGCTAAAATCCTCTCTCCACTGCACCAAAGTAACTCGTTGAGGACATGAATTCTGTATGCTAGTCCACCTTTGTAACTCCAGGGCCTGGGAGCTGGGAAGGTGGCTCAGTGGTAGAGCGCATACCTTGCAAGCCTGAGGCCCTGGGTTCGATTCCTCAGCACCATATAAGCAAAAAGAAAAAAGCTGGAAGTGGCGCTGTGGCTCAAGTGGTAGAGCGCTAGCCTTGAGCTGAAGAGCTGAGGGACAGCACCCAAGCCCAGAGTTCAGGCCCCACGACCGGGCCCAAAAAAATTAAAATAAAATAAAAAAGTAACTCCAGGGCCTGGCACAATGCCTACTGCATAGATATGTGCAATGTATGTGAATAATTGATTCCCAGTAATTTTGCTCTGTCTATAAAACAAATTTGGTGGCTTTAAAAACAGAAACCATGGAAACTATAATTTTACTCTGATTGTTATCTAATACAAATGTAGTTTGATAAGACCTTTGAAACATTCCAAGTTTTGTTTTTCTTTTTTTATACGCTGAGGGATTAGGCTGAAACTCAACTGAATTTGAGACCAGGTTTTGTTATACAGCCTGGGCTGGCCTCAAATTCATGATCTTCATGCTTCAGCTTCCCAAGTGCTGGGAGTACAGGGGTGTACTATCACACCCCCAGCTATAATTTTTTTTTTGTCAGTCGTGGGGCTTGAACTCTGGGCCTGGGCACTGTCCCTCAGCTCTTCAGCTCAAAGCGAGCGCTCTACCACTTGAGCTACAGCGCCACTTCCGATTTTCTGGTGGTTTATTGGAGATAGGAGTTTCACAGTCTCTTCTGCCCGGGCTGGCTTTGAACCGTGATCCTCAGATCTCAGCCTCCTGAGTAGCTAGGATTACAGGCGTGAGCCACCAGCGCCCGGCTCCCCAGCTATAATTTTAAAAGCACTATTTTGATGCAAGTTCCAGCTTAGCTGTGAGACATACCCTGAAGAGAGGAAAGAAAGGTTTTGAAGCTTAGAATAAAGGAACTACCTACCTTTATGTCCCTTCCTTCAGGGCAGACAGTACACTTACCTTTTTCAGTATATTTCCATATATTCAGTATATATTCAGTATATTTCCATTAAGGATGGCTGTAAGGCTTAGCTGGCAAATTCCACGAACTCAGTTCTTTTCCTCTGACTGTGCTGGATTAGACACAACAAAGCAGGTTTGGGAAGGCTAGAAAAGAATTCATATTTCCCTTTGCATTCTTCGGATATCATTTCCCCAAATCTCTGCATCAGCTGGCTTCCATTTCAGCATCAATCAGGAAATCTTGAAGGTAAACAGGGAAGTAAACAGGGAAACACATAAAATTAAGTGATTGGGGTGCAGTCTAAGGTCTCACAACTTTAACTGGCATGCGTCATAACTTAGAAGTACGTGGACATGAGTTGCCAGTTATTTTCCTTAATAAAAACCACCTCTTAGGCAAGCTCACAGCACCAGTTGGCTACAGGATGGAGTTTTCTATGGTTAGTCTTATACTCAGGCTCAAGTAACCTTCCAGAAGGGTTGGGACTACAAGCTACCACACCGGGCTTCTGTGTTCCTTTATAAATTAAAAACAAAAAACAGAAACAGTGCTAGTTCTAGGGTTTGAACCCAAGGCCTTGCATTCTTTTTGTTGTTGTTTTTTGGGTCCGGTCGTGGGGCCTGAACTCTGGGCCTGGGCACTGTCCCTCAGCTCTTCAGCTCAAGGCTAGCGCTCTACCACTTGAGCCACAGCGCCACTTCCAGCTTTTTTCTTTTTGCTTATGTGGTGCTAAGGAATCGAACCCAGGGCCTCTGGCATGCAAGGCATGCGCTCTACCACTGAGCCACCTTCCCAGCCCCCCAAGGCCTTGCATTCTTGCCTAGCTTTTTTGCTCAAGGCTGGCCCTTTGCCACTTGAGCTACACCCCTGCTTCTGGCTTTCTGTTGGTTAGTTGGAGATTAGAGTCTCTTGGATCTGTCTTCCCTTGGCAGGCTATGAACTGGGCTCCCCAGATCTCAGCCTCCTGAGCAGCCAGGATTACAGGTGTAAGCTACCAGCACCCTGCTTCCTTTAGAAAATGTTCAATTAAAGAATTTATGATTCTCAAGAAGACCAAACATTAAGTTAGCAATTTAGTACGTCTGTCCTTGATTTTGCAGGAAGAGCATAGAGAGGAAAAGCAACCCTAATGAAAGGAACCAATGATGAATGCTAGCAAATTGTTCTTAGTGGGTTTTTTGTTTGTTTTTTGTTTTTGTGATTGGTTGTGGGGCCTGAACTCTGGGCCTGGGCGCTGTCCCTCAGCTCTTCAGCTCAAGGCTAGCTCTCTACCACTTGAGCCACAGTGCCACTTCCAGCTTTTTCTGTTTATGTGGTGCTGAGGAATCGAACCCAGGGCCTCATGCATGCAAGGCAAGCGCTCTACTGCTGAACCAAAAAGCAGATATGCTTCTTCAGATAACATATATATAGTTTAACAATCTCATCAGGCTTCTCAGCTCCCTATAACATGCTTTTTTCCATTAAGGACGTGCACTATGCTTACTTAAATAAATTTAAATTTTTTAAGTGTGTAAATAGTAGTGTTGGTTTTATATATTTCAAGTACAAGGAGACAGCTGTACTTTTTTTTTTCTGTACATAGGATTAAAATACCTTCCTATCTGCAACAGATGTCATTAGATCATTTTAATTGATACATCAGACCAAATGTTTATGTTCTTGAAGTATAATTTATCGCTAGTTACAGTTCTAAATAGAAGTTGATGCTTTTTGTAGCGGGAAATCAGAAATATAAGCTCTTTCAGATATGGTGTACTAAATGTTCCTTTAATCATTTCCTTAAGAATATATTGAAATGCAAACAATTGTCTGAATTATGTTCTAAGAAAATATTAGTTATTTAGAATGTGTAAACTTGTAGAAATGCCAACACTTTAAAATTCAAGTTTGGTTGCTAGGATTTTTCTTTTTAAAAAAATACACTGGAGTAATTTCATTTCATAGCTTGCTGCATTAATACCTGTAATTACTATTGGGGAGAAATTTTTACTTTTTAAGTTGGTGTAAGTGTTATGCCAGGATTGTAGAATTGAAGATACTACCTTTAGATTTTTTTATTTATTGGTAACATGTTTAATTTAGTTAAAAATTAATTTTCCTTGAAAGTTGTTTATTCTGTACTAAAAGTAGTCCTGCCACTGTTTGTATGTCATTGGTAGAAGGGGAGCTTGACTGGTTCTTAGGTTGTTTTAACCACAGCAAAGGTAAAAGAATTTAACATCTTAGCCGGGCGCTGGTGGCTCACACCTGTAATCCTAGCTACTCAGGAGGCTGAGATCTGAGGATCGCGGTTCAAAGCCAGCCCGGGCAGGAGAGACCGTGAGACTCCTATCTCCAATAAACCACCAGAAAACCAGAAGTGGCGCTGTACCTCAAGTGGTAGAGCGCTTGCCTTGAGCTGAAGAGCTGAGGGACAGCGCCCAGGCCCAGAGTTCAAGCCCCACGACCGACCAAAAAAAAAAAAAAAAAGAATTTAACATCTTGTCTGTAAAAAAAAAAAAAAAAAAAATTAAAGTATATGGGGTTGGGAAGGTAGCTCAGTGGTACGCATGAGGCCCTGGGTTCGATTCCTCAGCACCATATAAACAGAAAAAGCTGGAAGTGGTGCTGTGGCTCAAGTAGTAGAGCGCTATCCTTGAGCTGAAGAGCTGAGGGACAGCGCCGAGGCCCAGAGTTCAGGCCCCATGACCAACAAAAGAAAAAGAATTTAAAGTATATTTAAGAAGTGGCACTGTAGCTCAAGTGGTAGAGCGCTAGCCTCAAGCACAGAGAGGCTCAAGGACAGAGCCCTGGCACTGAGGACTGGCCAAAAAACAAAAACAAAAACCTAGCCCACAGTAATTCTGCTGGGTGCCAGTGGCTCATGCCTGTAATCCTAGCTATACTGAAGGCTGAGATCTGAGAATCATGGTTCAAAGCCAGCCCAGGCAGGAAAGTGGAAAGTCCTTCAGACTCTTATCTCCAATTAACCACCAGAAAACTGAAGTAGTTCTGTGGTTTAATTGGCAGAGCACTCACCTTGAGCTGAAAAAGTCAAGGACAGTGCCCAGGCCCAGGGTTCAAGCCGCACAACCAACAAAATAATTAATTAATTAGTTAATTTACATACTACTTAAACCAGAAAAAAATCGAACTTTTTCTGATTATCATTGGCACAAGCTTTAAATTTAAAAGGTTTATCTCATTAAGTTACTCATCTCAGATTACTCAACTCCACAGTCTTCTACTTAAGAGTTCCTACTGCTGTGATTACAGAACTGCACCACCACACTCAGCTCACTCAACTACTTTTTTATTTATAGGAGGTACACATTAAAATAAACTTACGTAAGAAAAAAATATATTGAAGAATTCATCTGAAACTAACCAAGAAATGCCTTCACACTTTTCCAATTCAATTCATAACTTAAAAATCAAAACTTTCTACACATCAAGTAGTGAGAAAACAAAATACATTTAGTTTCCCAATAAATCATAAACAGGTTGGCTACCCTGACTTACTGACAACTCAAGTCCCTGTGGCACCCAGATGTGGCAGAGCTAGCTCACTGGTCTGGGGATGGACATGAAAGTCTCTAGATGAGGGGAAGTCTGAGGTGACAGACTGGCTTTAGGGAGAACGGTAGGAAAAGCTATCAATATGAGAGCAGAATGTGTGCATTCTGACCACATGACCAGGCAGGATCCTTGCTGAATGGGCATGGATTCCAAGTGATACACTCAGTGGCTCAGGAACATACACACTAGATGTTATTTAGAAACATGTACTTTACAGTGACTTTTATCTACCTTAGCAGCTAGAAAGGCAAAGAAAAAGTTAGCATGTGAAACTACCTTCAGGTGGTTCATGTCTGTAATCCTAGCTACTCAGGAGGCTGAGTTCTGTGATGATTGTATCTGTACCTGTGTTCAAGGCAATCACTCTCATGCTCTGGAGAACTGGTTATTTTGGCTTCTATTTATGCCTGGTTAATAAGAAGTTGACCACTGAACCTGAAAAAAAGAGGGGTTCTAAGCTAAGCACTAGTGGCTCACACTAGTATAGCTCACACAGAGTAGTGGCTCACAAAGAGTAGCTAGCTCATCCTTAGCTACTCTGGAGGCTTAGACATGAGGATCACAGTTCAATATCAGCCTAGGCATACAAATCCAAAAGACTCATCTCCAACTAACCAGCAAAAAGACAGAAGTGACCACTTTTGACAGCAGTTGGAGGTTTACCAAAAACCTAAACATACATCTTTCCTTACGACACAGACAATACCACTCCTGGGCATCTACCCAGAACATCACAAGCCAGGATATTGTAAAGACACTTGCAAATCCATGTTCGTTACTGTGCTATTCACAATAGCTAAGCTATGGAAACAGCCCAGATGTCCTACACTAGATAAGTGGATCCAAAAAATGTGGTACCTATACACAATGGAATTTTATACCACCATTAGAAAGAATAACATGGGGCTGGGAAGGTGGCTCAGTGGTAGAGCGCTTGCCTTGCATGCTCGAGGCCCTGGGTTTGATTCCTCAGCACCACATAAGCAAAAAGAAAAAAGCCGGAAGTGGCACTGTGGCTCAAGTGGTAGAGAGCTAGCCTTGAGCTGAAGAGCTGAGGGACAGTGCCCAGGCCAGAGTTCAGGCCCCACTACCAGACCCCCCAAAAAAATAAAAAATAAAAAATAGAAAGAATAATATGTCTTTTGCAAAGAAATGAATGGACCTAGAATAAATCATGTTAAGTAACAAACAGCACATTTTCACTCATATACACAAGCTAGATCTAAAATACACTGGGAAATGATAAATCATACATGACTCTAGGCATTCACACACAGTGAGACCAAAGGAGAATACGCTTAAGGAGAGGAACACAAAGGCACAATGCTTGTGTGCATCTGATCATATGACATAATATTAATAATTAATAATAATAATATTTACTGAAATGAACACCAGGAAATGGAAGTAAGAGGTTTTTTTGTTACTTTTCTTTTTGTGCCAGTCCTGGAGCTTGTACTCAGGGCCTGGGCACTGTGCCTGAGCTTCTTTTGCTCAGGGCGAGCACTCAACGACTTGAGCCTCAGCGCCACTTCCAGCTTTTTCTGTTTATGTGGTACTGAGGAACCGAACCCAGAGCTTCATGCATGGTAGGAAAGCACTCTACCACTAAGCCACGTTCCCAGCAAGGGCTTTTTGTCTTGTTTGTTCATTTATCTGTCTTTAGGGCAAGGGGGACACAGAAATGGAGGGACAAAGGGTAAACAAATGCAGCAATGGTACTCACTAGATATTATGTTGAAAATGAACTATAGAAGTTGTGGATGAAGAGGGGAAGGTAAAACTGGAGAGAGCAAAGGAAAGGGTAACCTTGTCCAAAAAGATATATATTCTTTACCTGACTTATGTAACTGTAACTCCTTTGTAAATCACCTTTATAATAACAATAAAAATTTTAAAAAGCCAGAGGCCGAGCTGTGGCTCAAGTGACAGCTTTTTTTGAGCAAAAAAGGTAAGGAGAGCTGGGAGCCAGTGTTTCTCATTTGTCTACAACAAATGCAGTTGCCACCTTGTCAAGTGTTTACGTAAAGCTTGAAAATATGCATTTCCAACAGAAGCAACACTGCTTTCACACAATATTCAACACTCCCTGCCTAGGATGTCTTTATAGAGAAAAATATTCTCAAGACATATTGTGACTAGAGGCTAATTTGTCCCAGCACCTCTATTTCACTCTCAATTCAGGACCAAAGTCAATGGCAAAACTCAATGAGCCAACTGGCCCGTTAGTGAATGTTGAGGTAAAATGGCTACTGATTCCCTAAATATGGCAATCTCTTCTGATTTTAAGATGCTGTGGACATAGTAAAACAAAAGGCTAACTATAAACTGCAGTCTCTGCTCCTGAAATGCTGTCACACCATTTTAACTTAGTGTCTGTTAAGATTATTTGAGGGGCTGGGAAGGTGGCTGGGCAGAGTGCTTCCTCACATGCATGAGGCCCTGGGTTTGATTCTTTAGTACCACATAAATAGAAAAGGCCAGAAGTGGCACTGTGGCTCAAGTGGTAGAGTGCTAGCCTTGAGCTGAAGATTTCAAGGACAGCGCCCAGGACCAGAGTTCAAGCCCCAAAACCGACAAAATAATAATAATAATAATAAATTATTTTAGTTGCTGTTTATTAGAGTATTCATATTGATGGAGCACTCCATGGGGTAAGAGAAGTTCTGCCTGTTTGTATTTACCTGGTTCAAGTGTCTGAAAAAAAAAATCTCTTCTAGGCTGTCCCAGAACAAGTTTAACAGGATTTGGCATTTCATTTCCTTTATAAAATTCAACAAAACAAACAAACAAGCCAGGCGCTGGTGGCTCACGCCTGTAATCCTAGCTACGCAGGAGGCTGAGATCTGAGGATCACAGTTCAAAGCCAGCCATGGCAGGAAACTCTGTGAGACTCTTATTTCCAATAAACCACAAGAAAATCACAAGTGGCACTGTGGCTCAATAGGCAGAATGCTCTCCTTGAGCTGAAGAGTGCAGGGACAGCGCCCAGGCCCAGAGTTCAAGCCCTACAACTGACAAAAATAAATACATAAATAAAACATACTCAACAAACTGTTAACTACAGTTTGATACACTGTTAACAAGTGCGACCTCTGTAATGTTTTATAAAGCA